CCCCCTATGTGTCTGTGTCTTCCACATGTATATACCGCATGCATATTTCTATGTATTAGCAGTCATGACTAGGTTCGTGCACGGCATTTCCAAATACGACTTGCGTCGCCTTGTCGTCAAGTCCGAACCTGTATCGACTCCTCTGTGTCTACCCAGACTCTGACCATTACAGACGATGCTCCCCTCTCAAGCAACAAATAAACGTTTCAAGCTGCTCCATTTAGGATTAAGCGTGAGCCCACGCCACAAAAACTGTCTACGGCACCTTAGTATTGCAGATATGGCAGACGAACTATCAGTTTGACGGCACATCAGCAATGGAAAAAGTGCTAGCCTTTAGGACTTTGCTATATTTAAGTTCTAATATTGCAAAATTCGACGATAAGATTGCAAGACTCTCTTAAACATACTTTTTCCCCCATTTGACATCTGTGCTCTACTAGAATGGTTGAAAGTAGTATTATGTGAGGCATTCGCTTGGTGACCAAATCGTTACAATTCACGTATATTCGATTCTTCTTCCCCACTTGTGGCCTCGACAGAACCAATTGGCAGTTTCAGCTTCGCCAGACATAGCCGCTCCATCCCCTCTGCTTCGTGGACATAATGCTCCAGTCACCTGACGGCCAGGTTTTTTTTATTGGTTATGAAGCTGCACATTAGGATTGTAGGAATATCAGCGATCCTTAATTGCCTGTAACAATGTTCACTTTTTGTAGGGGCTATTCAGGCCGCTCTCGGCTTGTCGAACCAGGCCACTCAGGCTTTCGCTGCGGACGACGAGGACGATGAACTAGGCACCGCTAACGCCCTGGAGCCGAATGAATCTGGAGCCCCTGACATCGGGGTGAGTAGATAATGCCTACCTGCCTACAGTAGACTTCCTATCCGATGACAGGTCAACCAAAATTCTGACAGCAGTTTTAAATCCGAGAAAATTACTCAAATAGGGTGGTAACATTTATTATTGTGCAGCCCAATGTCAAAATATTTCACCCACTTCCAGATGCCGGCGTTTAAACAAGCTTCTTTTTGACTGCCTGCAAAACCAACACTCCTTATAAAGGGGCTACTAAAGTAGTATGTATTATTCTCCCTGATTTCGATTCCCATATAAGCTTGAATATATTTTATTTTAAAAAATGGTCAATAATATTCTTTCTTCTTCTCTTTTGGGAGTAAATTATGCCTGCTTAACATCTTTACTCCCAGTTTCTAATGATGAGCTTATTCAAGATCGCAAATTGTCCATTCATAATACATCGTATTCTTCAATTTATTATTGTTACTTTTAAAGTATAGAAAAATGAGCCACGTCCATTACAAAATATTATGAGTGCTCTACGATCTCTTCCTCATAGTGTAGAGAGATGTATGATTTTCTTTAGACAAAATGTATGCAGCGTGTAGTTTTGAAACTTCGAATACAAATGTAACGGCCGATAGAGTTCACAAATATTCGACAATTTAGGTTTCTTCTAAACCGAAAGGTCCGCTCCATTGGAATGTACATTTTGACGAAAAAGCGTAAGTCTACCAAAAGAATACAAGAAAGAATTTTGTTCTGTATGTTTTCTATAAAATACATTCGGATTTAAGAGGGCATCGAAGACCAATTAGAAAAATGCATACTACTTAAGTAGCTATTTTTAAAGAGTATGCTTTTTGCAGGCGGTCAGAAAGAACCTTATTTTTAAGGCTGACACCGAAATATCTTGAGATTAGGCCATAGGCCAATCAATATTACGATCTAACCTGAGTAATTTATTTGAATCACAAACCCATTTCGAGCTTTCGATTGACATTTCATTAAACAGGGAAGTTACTGTTCGTATTATGGCTAACGCCCTTGAAAGAGATTGCCTTAACATTGGTCGACAGGTGCTAGTTTGAGAGTTCTTGTCAAGGAAGCACAACTGGGCTTTGCAGATTTGGTAGAATTTTTCGAACTCTGTACTGTAAATGCTGCTTTTTAACTTCCTTGCAAGGATCCACTCTATCCCCCTGCGGAGGAGGGCTTGGCGCAATCAACTCTCTGGGCAGAAATCCGGAAGCTTTATGGACACAGTTACGAGGTTAATAATTGGATAGCTGTCCTCCTCTCTTTTAATTCATAGGTATTCGTTGGTTCCTTAATTTTATTCATTGGTTGCTTTTTCTTCAACCAGGTTTTCTGTCTGGCTGCCCATCCCAAGGGCATTCTCGTTGCTTCAGCCTGCAAGTCCTCGAAACAGGACTCTGCGAGCATCTTCCTTTGGCGCGCCAGTGACTGGACCATACATCAGGTTTGTGTCTGCTTGCTTCCGCGTTTGCTCAATGGTCCGGAGCTTGTCCACCAGTCGTATTTTAGTAAAACAGACTTGCAGACTTCAGCAAAAATGGTAAAAATGACTTAAAAGAAGGCCGAAAGTTTTTTCATTGCTTCTTGTAGGGTCCTGGGGTCTAGAATGAACCACAACCAATAGTTTTTAATGCTTAGCGAACGGGTTGAAGCAATTTCAATCGCAGACACAACTAGCATCTGTATTTGAAGTCTTTAGATTTACCAAGTTTGGCTTGTGAACACAATGATCCTGTTTTACAGGAGCCACGTTAACAAGGATTCACTGCGACCAGGCTGTCTTTAACAAGATATCAGTGAAAGCCTCCAAAACTGGAACCTTTTGGGCTCTGTAATAAGTTATTCTGCAAACCTTGACCAGACATATGCAAAACTGACACACGATCAACTAATCACTCGAGACGAATTGACAGGTGTATGCGCACGATACTTCCACCTTCACAACCGATGGAATTACCCTGTGAGATGGGCTCAGCTGTGACTTGCACGTTTATTTGTTTATGCTAGAGCAGGCATCCATTACATCTATCCCGCTACTCATTCCCCGACCCACCACTTTCTGGTGACACGACCAAGTTAAATGACTAACGGTTGTCTGGTATGCGGTTTTTAACAAAAGTACCCGGCAAGCATG